GTAGTGTGAATAAAAATTGCCATATAAAATCAATGCATATTTTGCTATTGTGAATTAAAAAATTAAATTAAAAGACTATAAAAGTAAATAGAAAAGTAAACTAACTAAATAAGCCTAAATAATAACATAAAAACCACATACAGATTAAATTAATTTGTATAACAGAAAAGTAATGAGCAGTAAACAAATTTTTCACCTTACTCTCATGTAAATGTGGCGAAATGACTTAAGGTTAATCAACATATTAGATGTATCGGGCGCTCATGTTAAAATGGAGTACACAAAATTCTCGTGCACTGCTATATTTATTAGGCGCACATCTCTTTACTGCATTATCTATAGCAAGGATCCCGATATATATATATCAATTTTCTAGTGCCAAATTGGGGAAGCCTCACACAAACTGCCCGCTGATAATTCAAGGGTTTAGAAGATAAAAGTTTGATGTTTTAAAATTTTTTTGCTATTTTTGTATTAATACTAGCGAACATCGGCTTTCTCTGGCACTTCATAATAAGTACCTTATGGATTTTAATAATCATCAGTGAGTTTCAGTAATAAATTTAAGAATTTATTACAAAATTGATACGAAAACAAAATTTTCATGAGTTTATCTATTACAAACAGGTATAAAAAATCCTGATGTTTTCCATACAACTGTTTTGATCAATCCCGGAATTGGAAACTATACCGGTATTTACTAATAAATGCATATTGATTCAATACTTTACCAATCGATCTATCAAATTATATAAAAAATGATGCACTGAAAGCAATGATGTAAAATTTAATACGTTTTAAAATATCAAAATGTTATACGAGTACTTTCTCTAAAAAAAATTTAAAAGTAAAATTATATACGACATACGTCATTCGACGGGTAGTTTTTTTTTTTTTTGATGTTGCCACAATTTTTTTGCCATTTTGACTGTGGGTTCTTATACGTCATATTGAAATCAATTCATTTTATAGATTTGGTTGGAATAAATAAATAAGAGATTTTTAATTATACACATCTGTACTTACATCATCATAATAAACTTGTCTGCATTTGAAATCTCGAAAAGAAACAATGAAAATGTAAAAAAAATAAAAACTGAGCTCGCACTAAAAGCGCACGTGAATATTATAGAAAAGAATATACGATTGATTTGACATTTTATCTATAAAAAAAAAATTTATTTCATCCTTTATTTTAATTTTTCTCTTTTTGTCTATTTATATAATGTTTATATCAATATTAATTCCATTTATTTATATAACACAACAATAGGCCTAAAATGAATAACTTCATAAATGTATTCTACTCAATTCGTCATAAAAGAATGAAAACAAACGAATTCTGACAACAATAACAACTTATTCACAAAGTAGACCCCTTCTTCAGTATTCTATCTTGTCGTGGTGAATAATCTTGAAAACGATGTCTAAAAATACTACAACTTAGTGCGGTCTTGCAGATTCAACCATGCCAACAAGTTCGAAAGTGTGACCTGGAAACTAAGAGAATAATCTGGGTATTGACTAGTTGTTATACAGACTATCGCGAAGGAAGTCGCTCTCCAGTTTACCTCAGGGAAAATTTTGACCTTACTACATTATGCTCGACTCAGTGTAGCAGACTCTCCTTTCTCTAGCTGCTCTGGCACCAAACATAAATAAAGAAATAAAAGAAAGGAAGAAACAAAAAAAAAACAGAAGAACGAGAGAACCCTGTCATAGTTCTCGTATTTTGACAGCGTTCACTGGCCAAATAGAAAAGAATAGAAGTGCAAGGGAAATGGTGACTATCGTCTATGAGGCCTCTTTCACTGAGAAGAACAAAAACACTGATGCAGAGGATAGTCGGACCAGACCATCCACATCCGCGCAAGGCACATGGGTGCAGGGAGCAAAGTGCACTCCGAGGTGCACTACGAGTTGAGGAGGAGAAAGCCTTACTACTCGCCACCATTTGGGACAACCTGGAGATCTGGATGATCCACGGAGACGAGAACTGAGTGGAGCAGGTATTAGAAGCCATTTTCTCCGACAGGGAAATCACTCGACGATGCCAAGAAGTTAACCGAAGAAAAGAGTTCCTCACAACCGAAGGAATAGCAATTATACAACAAAATTTACGTTTTTATACTGTCACAATTAGTATTTCTGTATATGTTTCAATTTTATTGATGTTCTTGTACGAAATTTCATTGGAAATTTTATTTGCGTATGTGCAGTGTATATTTATTTGGTTTGGATAATATTATACCATGTGTAATATTTTATATTATGGTTTTTACTTTACTTTGTTTTTGTTTTTTTTTTTACTTGCTTCTTCGTCTTCTTATACCTTTAATGTCTAGTGGATTTTGGTTATTTAAGGGTTGGGGTTACTATTGCGCCTGTATAATTTTTTTTTTTTACTTTTATTTTGTGATTCTTACATTTTTTGTTTTTTTTTTTTTTAATTTTGTGTTGTGTTATTTTTTATATTTAAAACTAACCAAATATATATAAATATTATGTATGCGTGCCTACTATACATTTATTTACACATATATGATTGTAAATTTACATACATTCATACATATATTAAAAATTCTGGATATGATAAATAAAATTGGTATATTTATAATACAAATCGGCATACTTTTAGGATTCTCCACTGAAAATATAGTTTTCAATTGAAGGTTAATGCAAGATTGCAGAATAAATTATTAAAATATGTAGAGTATAATAATTATGATTACTAGAAACGCAAAAATTACCATTAAAAGAATCATTTCCAATAATATTATAATTGCGACTCCTAGAGTTATGCAAATAGTAAAAAAACAACCGTGTATTGATTTATTTTCTCATTAGCCAATGCTGACTCAATTATACTGTACACATTGCGAACCCATGCTGGTGCGAAATCTGTCATGATGAAGAGACGCTAGACATTTTTTGTGGATGTTTACTCTGCTATCTATAGGAAGAAGTGACTTATGCATTTAAACAATTCCACGTTACTGAGACTTCGACTGTATTGAACTTGACTATGCGAATAGATTCTCATAATAACCATATTTCTAGCGAAAGTCTTATAATTACCAGCGGTTGACTGGCGGGCTTGAAATTTAATATAATATAGTCGTTTATAATTATAAATTATTTATAGGTGTAAAAAATACACTCTTCTATAAATACGTATATGCAACTTTAATTTTTGGTACACTCTGTTACAACACATTATGCATACACTAATCTGCACATAGACATTTTTTTTATATACAAAATAATTTTTAATCTTACACTTAGCTATATATCCTTTGGCAATTACATTAATATTTGTATAGCGTAGCAAGAGGGGAGAAAAATTTTTCGATATTTTCACCAAAAAAGAAAAATATAAAGTAACAGTAATATAAAACAAAAATTTTTTTTTAAAATGGGAATATAGAAATAAAAAAAATATGTATATCATTGTAAAGGTGAATTAAAAAATTATTTCGAGGGGTTTCAAAGGAAATAATATATACGGTATACAAGCTAGGTAGTTGAGGCAGAGTGAGTGGTAAAAATAAAGTGAAGAAAAATGTGCATACACTAAAATTTTCTTTTCTAGTAAGTTTTGTTTTTTTTTTTCCAAAAAGGGTGATTCCATGAACAATACTCATTCATCATCAATTCATACACACGAAAATATTGTTATAATATATACATAGGTATGTACATTTGTACGATATGGGATATAATCCATATGTATTGTATATTCATTCATATATACATGCATATGGATGTGTGCGTCTGCATATTGCATGTAAACCGATTTGTAAATGATGTTCTAGAAATACAAAAATGTACCATACCACATGAATTTTTATGAAGTAAAATTTGTAAAATTTTGTAAGTACATATATGAACTAGTCTCGGTTTACATTTTTTTTTTTCTTATTTACATTCTTACATAAACATATATTTAAATTTTAAATCTCAACCTCATTTTTGACGCAAAAATAAATTTTTTTTTTGTTTCTTTATAAATTTTTATGCCTTGGGTAGCAAACAATATACAAGCATTTGAAGTATATTGTTTTTTGAACTACTCTGGAATGCTTCGAAATTGTTATCGGGACCCAGTTCTGCTTATATATATATATGAACGTATTTGAAAATTTAAGAAGAAATTGCATTATAATAAATGTTTTATTAAAATTCTCTTTTTACAAGCCCAAGCCCAGCTACATGACAAAAGTTATGTTAGAAAGTTATCGACTTATTTTTTTTTTCTAGTTTTGCATGTTGGTCTAGTGGTACAGGTGACTAGCGTGACTCAGACCTGACAGCGACCCCGGACGGCGTTTTTTTACCGTTTTGACGATTTTGTTGACCTGATATTTGCGAAAATATGAGGTCAACAAAATCACTAGGGCCATTCTGTATAGTCTTGGCACTTTTGATTTATAGATAATGCATATCCAGCCATGTTCGCCTCCCCCAACGAGAGCAATCTTACTCTGCAGATTCGGAGATACTCGCAAAAGTAATGGAAAAGAGTCGTTTTTTTACCAATCTCCCACCAGCTGCGATATAAAGGATTGAAAGAAAGACCCTGCATGGCCTCGTGTTGACCCACTGGGGTATGTCCTATATTAACCTAAACCATATTAAGCATGTCCTCTCGCGATGATGAAATGAGTGTTATAAGTTTCATTACGTTCGTACTAGTATTGGATATCAAGTTATATAATACTGAATGTAATTTTTTACTAGTGACCTAACCCCGCAGGGTTTGTAATCGAGACCCTACGATCAAAAAACCGGTACGATAAATACTGCAACATACGGTTTAGATGATGAATTAGCTATACTTTAAATTTTAGATTATAAGGGCTATTTCTATGTTATACTGGCTTTATTTTCGAATAAAAATAAATGTATAACAAATTAAATTACTCAACATATAACTTGCTAAACTGTTATATTTTGAAATATTATTAATTTTTAAGAAAATTATTAAATTTTATACTTACATAATTGTTGTATATTAATTTCTATTTTTCCTATTTTATTGTTACAGTTTTTCTTCTTTTTATTGTTATATTCGTTATATGTATAGGTATAAACCAAAAAGAATTTGTTTTTTTTTTTTATATTCTATATATAAGTATATATAATATTTTTTTTTATTTTAATACTTTGGATGTGGTGTGTATGTTGTTGGGTGGTTTGTTATGATTTTCTTCTCGCCACTTTTAAAAATTTTTAAAGTTTTTATTTAATCATTCATTTATTTATTTTTTAATTTTTTTATATATATTATATGAATATTAAAATATTTTTTGTTATATAATTTTATTATATTTATATAGAAATTATAATTTTGAAATTATTGTATTTATTTTTACACATTTTTATATTTTTTGTCTTTATTTTATTTAATATTTAATTTTATTTACTATTTAATTTTAAACTATTTTAATTTTTTTTTATTTTTAATAATTTTTAAATTTAATATTTTTTTTGTGTTATTTTTTTTTTTATTTTTATATATCAAGATTTTATTTCCATTGCATAGAAAGAAACATCACAGTTTTTTTTTATAATATTTTATTTTAATTTATTATTTTTTATTTTTCATTGAAATTTTTATTTAATAATTATTTATTTAATTTAATTTAATTTTTATTATCTGGAATTCTTTTTGCATTTTGTTTTTTTGTGAATATAAATCACCAAGCCTTTTATTTAATAAAGAAAAAAAAAATATAAATTGTGATGATTAAAATTATACCATGTATGTTTGTATATTAATTTAAAATAATAATTATTTTTGTTAAAATAATTAATATTATAAAAAATTTAATTAAATAAAATTTAATAAATACTTTCTAAATTTTTTATTATAATACAAAATTTTATTAATATTCAATTATATAATCGTAAAAATGTTTACACCTTGTAGCTTTTAATTATTATTGTATTAAAATTATATTTATATTATTTAATTAATTATTAAATTATATTTTAAATTTAGGAATTTAAATTTTATAATTAAGAAGTTTGAGTTGTTAAATTTTAAACTATTTTAAGTACTTAAATTTCTTAAGTGTTCAATATAAGAAATTTTTATTTTGATTCTTTATTACATTTAGAAATTGAACATTGACCAAATTTGAAATTGTATAATACTAATTGTATACCAAGTTATTTGGCAGAATTCATATGGTAATAAATATTGAAAATTTTCCATATATACATGGAATTCAATTAGAAACAATGTCAAAATTGGTCAAATTATTACGTGAATTTTGCATTATATCCGCTTAACATTTAGTAAGGTAAAATAATTGCCGGCATAATTATTATTATATTAATTATATCTATGATATAATTGGGAAAAAGAGTATAAATCAAAATTTTATCAAAATAAGATAAGTATGAAGATAAATTAAGGAATTATATATTTCGTAAAAATATCGTAAATCTATAAAATACCTAGAAATCTGTTATATACTACAATGAGTTAAAATGTGAAAATATATTTATCTTTAATGTGCGTGATAAAAATACTATACAAATCATTATGTCTTTTTTTATGTTAGCAAATTTACGATATAAAAGTAGATTACGGTATAACGACACGATATATATTTTAATTGATAAATTCAGTTAAATTAATATTTTTTGACTTTCTGAATGAATTTCATATAAATTTTATGAAAGAATTTTTATCAAGTTTTGTAATTTTCCTGAAAAATGCTAAGCGTATTTTCGACTTATACTCGTATTAACCGTTATAACAGCAAATAATTAAAATAATTAAGTAAAATTAGTACGAGATTTAAATTTTTTTTTTTAATTTAATTAGTTCCCATAATGAATTAGATAAGAATTACTGTAATTGTACATTAAAAGAAGGAATTAGAATTATGAGCCCTATATAATAAAGAGTGCTCTAGCAATAGAAAAAAACAGAAAATGTTTTATAGTTTATCCTTCAATACCGTTTAATACCGTTTTTACAATTAAATAACAAACAGCGTCATCTTTAAAATAATGGGAGCTTTCTATAATGAACTCGGGTAATTTCGAAACTTTTAATTGTTAAATATGGAAACGCTTATTTTATATATAAAAGCAATTTACACAATTTTCAAATTTTATACAATTTACTAAAAAAAACAACCCAAAAAATATTATATTAAAATGGCGTTACAAATAAAATTTTTTTGTAAAATTTATTTTTAAATTAATTTTAACTCTACATAACAGTCCCCATCATCGATTACTATTTATGTACACCCCTAATTTAAAACAGGTAAATTTTATAAATATATATAGAAAAACTATATATAATTAATATTTAAAAAAATTTACGCTCTGAGAATTTAAATTCATTCTAAAATTCATTTCACTCATTTATTCATTATTATGTTATGTATGCATACATACATACCATATACGTGCATAATATACATTTATTATAAATCCCAAATGTAATTAAATAAGCCATTTAATATTGTCTATACACAATAATAATAAATAAATGTATGATGTAGATATGTACATATATGTATAGTATAACAAAATTTTATACAAAACTAGAAAGAAAATAGATTATAAATTATATACCTACATACATACACGCATACATATATATATATTATGTTTAATTGCATCATATTATAAAATTTGTTGTTAAAACTATTTCAAATAAACATAACATTGTATAACTTGTTTAGAAACTGTTATAAAATTGTAATATGTATTTAAAAGACAACATAAAATTAACTCTATTTTAAGTTCATAAAATGTAAATTAATCTAATTTTGTAGTCTATGTAGTGTGAAGGTGTATATAGAGTGACAACATGTATATATTTAAAATTGTAATAAATATTTAATATTTAAATTTTAAATAGAAATGATTTTAAAATATATTCATAAAGTGTTAATTATTTGTATATAAAATAGGAAAAATTTTACTGTTATACTGCTGCGTAAATTTTAATTTTGTGATGAAAATCAGTGACGGAGAAGTTGTCATTACTGCTGTAAGCAGATGAATAAGAGACTCAATTATCTAAAAAAAAATAACAGTAAAATCTGTTAGAGACAGAATCGCTATGGACCGAAATTTTTTAGGAGACAAGTTTTACGGGAACAAAGGTTTTTTTAAACTAAAACTAATTTTTTTTTTAAATATTCCAACCTTCACAGTGTTCGCACTTTTCTCCGTGATCATAAATGAATATCAAAATTTTGATGGACTCACTCAAACATTATCACATATTTACATACATATGCACATACATACATATATGGAAGTGCAGCAATTTCATTTCGAATATTGTGTTTCAGCTCTGGAATAATAATTTGTAAATAAAATAAAGTGTACCTACATTTGATATACATGTGAGTAACTTAGGTATGTACTCATATACAATATTCATGTTTATATATATAAAACATCGGTTAAATAGTCTATCAAAAATGTCAAAAATATTTTGTACATTAAAAATTATTTTTAATGTTTTTTTTTTGTTCGTTATTAAAGTGTGACATAAAAATCTATAGCGATTATGAAAATTTTAATGAGAATTTTTGTACAAAACACAAATTCTACTTATTTTAAATATTAAAGAGATTTGTATATACCCAAATATATAAAGTTGGTATATATAATGTGTATGTACTAATTTTTTTTTTTTGGGAAAATACTACAATATACAAAACGAATATTCATTTATTGAAAATGAAGAAAAATATAACAAAAAAAAAAATAGAATAAAATGATAACAATGATCACCAGACCTTGTACTTATTTATTATAGAAGCAGGCATATCTATTCTTATATACCCATATCATTTTTATAGTGAATACATCCATATATACGTAAAGTATATCTATGATATATATACTTATGTATGTATATATGTATATATATGTAGTGAAAGCTAATTTTGATATCGTTTTGATAGCCATTGTATATAAATATATATACGAGAGTAAAAACTATTCTTAATTACTCCAATCATTAAAACAAAAGAAAATTTACTCATAGGCATATACACAATATATATATATATGTATATATATATCTATGTGCATATATGTATATATCTAAGATTGTATTTACAAAAAAAAATAGAAATAAAAATTAACATAAAACTTAAAAAAGAAAAAACAAGAAAAAGAACAAAGAAAAATTTCTATTATAATTGAAAAATAAGAAAATTAGGTCAGAAAATAAGCCTTATACCCATATTACGAGTAAGTATATATATATATATTTAATATGAAAATTTGCAAAAATATATATACATTTATTAATATATAAACTTGTATATGCAATATAAATAGATAGAGATCACATATATACACATATGTATTTATATATATAGCATGTGTAACCATGCATTTATGTATATATACTAAAAATTATAATATAAAATTTGTACTATTTTATTATGCACAATTTTTTTTATATATTTATGCATTTGTATATATACATATATATAGCGTATATAATATCATTTTAGTTATTTTTTTTATTGTTTCAACAATATATACTTATATATATTGTATATATATACATAGATATATAAAATATATATATATACATATATATACAAATAGTTTATCTTCATTTTTCTTTGTTATTTTTTTTTTTTTTTGCAATATTTAAATAGTAATGTACTAATATATAACTCAAATATATAAATACCTATATTTATATATAATGTGTATATTTATGTACATAATATTAAGTCCAGATATATAGAACCTTTATTTATTTACAGTCATTCTTATAATTTAAATAATATATTATTTTATTTTACAATTATATTTAATATATATATATATACATATATGTAAATTATGCAAATAAGCAATTGTGTGTATATATATTATATATAAAAATTTGTATGTATTATATACAAATAAGTTAATTAACAATTTAAAACTGTTATACATTCTATATATGTATTATAGATAGCTCATCATGAATTATTTAAAATTTAAAAAATGTTGTTGCTTTTAGTGATACTTTTAAAAACATATCATACAATAATATATTACTGACCAAAATGTATATATATATATATATATAGTAGTTAATTAATTCCTCAACACATATTTGGCATAGACATACATATGTATGCGTATATAAGTATATTAGCGAGTTTGTACAAATATATAGATATATGTAGTATTCTTTAAAAGAAAACTATAATTGAAAACGGATGCAGAATAAATTTTTATTAAATTTATATACAGATGGAGCTATATAAAATGAAAGTTTTGCGTATGTATATATATACAGGGTGCTCAAGGTTATAAAAGGATCATTATAACAGAATAAAAAATATGAAAAACGATCAACATAACTTGGATTATAATTAATTTATTATGAAAAATTTTCTTTAGGTGCTCTTTGTTCGTATGAAAGAATTCTATCACCCTGTTCCAGGAGTACTGTCGAGTCTTGGACACTCTGTTACATTCATTTAAGGCGGACACATATGAAACCTTTATAGTACTTATTTTAGGAGAAATATTCCTGGAGAATTTT